ATATATATATATATATATTCACGTAATGGATCTACGCACCTTCGTTGATCGTTCAACTTCTATTTCATTAATGTAAGATTGATACAGGCGTATATTGCAGGTTGAAAAGTGTCACTTTATCATTTTTAAAATCGGTGTTCGTCGGAAAGCGAAGGTAAACCATACACGGAATCAATCAATGACGCGCGTACGGGAAGGTACACACGTGTTTGTGACATATTTTGCAAATAAAGATCACTTCACTATTGGAAATGTAATACAGACTCGCCAAGTGATGAGCCTGATTTAGGTAACGTATTCACGGTCTTTGTTCCGGTTTACACGTTGATTGATTCTGTATGTATCAACATGTCACAATGTCGATTAGGAGATGACTGACAGCATGCCATGATAATGGATGCAAGAGTGCATGCATCTAAGGTGTGTACCTGTGTGTGTGTGTGGTAAATGTGAAGCTTACACAGCGAGATCGTTGAGATTGCGGCAATTGCAGAATTTCACGCGATCCCCGCCAGACGATGAAGAACGTGGCGCGAGGTATTCTTCCGCAACAGACACACACAGGTAAACACCGTGTATTTTAACTTTCAGCTTTAACTTTCATCATTTTCAATGAAAATCTCTAACGGTGTTCCGATTTTTGTCGGATACATATTGTAGTATCAATTAGACATCAGATCACATTCATTCAGAGAAAGAATCCTAAGCAAAGGAATAGAACTTCAAAATTGATCAGTTCGTCATTATTTGTCACAATTTATCTCTCCAAATTAATCCCGTATGCGGGCACAAAACTGTTTCGAATAACCTGTCCAGAGATTAGTTGATCATGACATAACGACACACTTAACGGAGCCTTAAGTGATTTACCACTCAGGGCCCCAGGGATTTGAGTTACCGATTTCCATCACTGAACAGGAGGTCCTCGTGACTATCCGATTCACCCCCAATATGCTATTCATCACAGAAGCACGTCATAATAAAATAGGTGTAACGTGGCAATAGGTTTGAGCACGAAGCACAACACAACGTGTCTGTTTAACTTGAATATTTTAATTATTGATTCTCTCATTGCGCAATCAAACCAATAAGAAAATAACACTCGTTTTCAATGAAGCGAACTCTTCAATCATGTGTTTTACAGTCTCAACACAAGCTTGTGGTCAATTTTGTAGGCTACATGACATACATTGATGTCTCCTATCCGAACGAATTTTCTTTCGGGTAAAACACAGCTTCCATCGGATGCCAGTAGTTCAGAACAGGACTAACATTCGCCGTATTTCTTATCGGAGATACAAAGAACTTTATGGCTGATGTCCGCGAAACATTTGTGGCTGTCACAGAAGCATGTGGTATCGATAACTTTGAAAATAAATGCTCCCTTCAATTTGTACCCTGTATTGCAAATAGTAAAACTGAGAAATCTACCATAGAAATCCGATGATCGATATGGCTGTGTGATGGACAGGATGATGCAACTGAAGACAATTCAGATCATCTCAGGTCATAGTGAACTGAAAGGGCTTTGACTGTGTAGTTTTCTCGTAGAGAACACGAATAGGGAAACTAAAATGGCGCTGGTTTGTACCATGCATTCCGCTCTGATGGAGATTGGTTTCTGTGTTGGAGATTTTCCGGAGAAAACTGTGCTTTTCGTTTCTCAAATGCAGGGGGAACATGCACTCCTTGATTTGCCTCACAATTCAAAGTTTATACCTATTTTATATCAATTATTCGTTGTCTATTATGATATCGCATTTGAAAACAATATTGTCTTCTCCTGTCGTTGGGATTTGCACGTTACTCATTCGGCCGGACGGATTTCCAATGTACCATCTACTTCTCCAGTGACTCAATAAGTGTTTTGTTTGGTATGTGTTCTGTGGGACTGTTTAGACAAACAGGATGCAATAAACAAATGTTACAAACAAACGAATATGCAAAAGAGGTGAAAACAATCTGAGCTAAATCCAACGAGGAAAAGATAATAGGTTCAGATAGGACGACGATTTTCAACCATAGAATATACCCGTTGTTCTTTTAGAGGAGTCTGAAAGTGGTAAACGTCAGCGTTTGTTTACGATACTTGTTCTCAAGCTATTGTATTACATTGTAAAACATGTACACAGCACTGAGCCCAATAATCCGTAATGTTATGGTTTGCACAGTTATTCTGATGTTGCGGTAATTTATTTGGAAGGAGCAGTCATGGAATAGTCGGGATTGGTGTGTCCCTATCTAATCACTGACCTTGAGTCAAAATAGCACTAAGGTCTTAACAAATTGTTTCGGCCTGCTCGCGAGCGCTTCAACTGTTGGCGGAATTC